TTTTTTTTGCAAGAAAAGAAGTCGCGAAATTCAAGCAGCACTTCTTTCAATTCCCATCCAAAATCAAAAACCAGCGTAGCACACAATTAATCAAGAAAAGTGTGTTGCAGACTCTTGTCAGACAGCATTCGCATAAAGATTTGCATCGTGAGTTGTCTATCAAAATGAAAGGAGAAAAAGCTTAAGTTGTTGTGGAAAGCTAAAACAGACAACTTTGCCGTTTTTTTCTTCACAAAACCGGGATTCACTTACTTTAGAAATCTTCTTTCCAATCACCATTTTACAGACAACACCTCAAAAATTTCGAGTATGTCAGTTGTGAATACTAGGCTTTTCTGAGCTTATAGTCATCTCACTCACAGTCAATGGCACTAATAGCTTTCTTAAATACTTCAATAATCTACTTTGTCCAGTAAATTAGCTCATTTGGCGATTGTATTTGTTGGAATTAATGAAAATGAGAAGCATTTGTACTAAACGGAATAGAAATCGCCGGCTTTAAAAACCTAACGCAATGATCTAATTCCATAATTTCATAACAACAACTAATAATAAATAATTTCTCTAAAATTACCGTATCTCACAAATGATGATCACTGATCGTCCTTTGCTTCACGTAGTTGTAGTCCTATCCAGAGTTCTGGTTCCAGAAACCACTGTTTTAGCGTTACGTTTTACTTATAGACAGCAATCGCCGGTTCCATCGACCTGCGTACTTACGTCAGCCTCTTCACATCAGCTGATGGCAGAATCTATTTGAGTTTACCGGATTTGGGAGTAGAGAAAACATGGTTACTCAAAGACCTCATTAAAGCAGCAGATCGACTAGCCGGTTAGCCTTTACTTTGAGTAAACTTCGCAACACTTCATAATCACAATATTCATGGGAGACATCCTTTAAGCTGAATACCCTGTCGAAGAAGATCAACCTCCGTCACTGGAGTTGCTGGTGCCTATCGCTCGAAAGCTCTCAGGCTCTTGTGAAGAGCAATGTGGTGTCCAACATCTGGCTATACTAGCCTTCTGGTACCTCTTGCTTGGCGTCGCTCACAGGAAGAGGTATGTTTCATGTTCTACTTAGATGTCCAGTAGATAGTTCTGGATGGTTTTTGT